TTTCAGGATGGTGAGTTTGAGCCCCACATTGGGCTCCATGCTGGGGACCTGGTCTACTTAAAATTTAAAAAAAATCATAAAGTGAAAAGAATTATTGTCATAAAATAGATGAAGTCTCCATGATTTTCTTTTTTATTGTTTTTTTTTCCTTTACATATAGAAATGAAGAAGAAAAAGAAATCGTGCAAACCATCCATGGGAAAATCTACTTTAACCTTATCAATTTATGCTTTTCCAGTGGCACTGCATCACTTGGAGAAAAAGAATATTATTACATAGGAGTGTGATATTATATATATATATATATATACATATATATATAAACATATGTAAATTTAAATTTAAATTTAAACTGCCAATTAAAGAATAATTGGAGGACAGCCCCGGTGGCTCAGCGGTTTAGCGCTGCCTGAAGCCCGGGGTGTGATCCTGGAGATTCGGGATCGAGTCCCACGTCGGGCTCTCTGCATGGAGCCTGCTTGTGTCTCTATTGTGTCTCTCTGCCTGTGTCTCTACTGTGTCTCTGCCTCTGTGTGTGTGTGTGTGTCTCATGAATAAATAAATAAAATTCTTTTTTTTAATTTTTTTATTTATTTATGATAGTCACAGAGAGAGAGAGAGAGAGAGAGAGAGAGAGAGAGAGAGAGGCAGAGACACAGGCAGAGGGAGAAGCAGGCTCCATGCACCGGGAGCCCGATGTGGGATTCGATCCCGGGTCTCCAGGATCGCGCCCTGGGCCAAAGGCAGGCGCCAAACCGCTGCGCCACCCAGGGATCCCAATAAATAAAATTCTTTAAAAAAAATAAAGAATAATTGGAAGGAGCAACTATTTAGCGCCAACAGGGAGGTTTTCACTGATGCTGTGAAATTTAAGCAGAGCCACATGGTGGAAAATTCTAGTGCTAATCCATATCTGGTTGTGGTAGGTGGAATAATAGCCCAAAATGTCCACACTCCAATCCTTGGAACCAGTGACTATGTTACTTCCCATGGTACAAGGTACTTTGCAGATGTGATTTAGGTTAAGGACTTTACTGGACACCTGGGTGGCTCACTGGTTGGACGTCTGCCTTCAGCTCGGGTCGTGATCCTGGGATCCGGGACCAAGTCCCTCGTTGGGCTCCTCACAGGGAGCCTGCTTCTCCCTCTGCCTATGTCTCTCTGCCTCTCTCTCTGTGTCTCATAAATAAATAAATAAAATCTTAAAAAAAAAAAAGGTTAAGGACTCTATGATGTGGAGATTTTTCTGGATTATTTGGGTGAGCCCCATCTGATTGCATGGGTCTTTATTTGATTTTTATTTATTTTATTTATTTATTCATGAGAGACACAGAGGGAGGCAGAGACACAGGCCGAGGGAGAAGCAGGCTCCCTGTAGGGAACCTGATGTGAGACTCAATCCCAGGAAGCCAGGATCACGCCCTGAGCCAGGGCCAGACACTCAACCCAACCGCTGAGCCACTCAGACATCCTGATCTGATGGGTCACTAAAAGCAGAAAGCCTTTCCCAGCAGGAGGATAAAAGCTGTGAAGACAGAAAAAAGAGGCAGGAGGGGTGCTTGGGTTAGTCAGTTAAGTGTCTGATTCTTGATTTCAGCTCAGGTCATGATCTCAGGGTCCTGGGATTGAGCCCCGTGTCAGGTTCCATGCTCAAGCAGAGAGTCTGCTTGTCCCTCTCCCTCTGCTCCTCTCCCACTCACTCTCTCTTAAATAAATAAATAAATAAATAAATAAATAAATAAATAAATAAATAAAAATAAGATCTAAAAAAAATGCAATATAATAAATTTGTATTGTTTTCAGCTCCTGAGCAATAAGAAAATGATTACACTGGTTCTTCTCTCTTCCCAGGCACATGAGAGAATTCTACTTCCCCACCATCATGCTATTAGGTGAAACCATGTGAGGGATCCCTGGGTGGCGCAGCGGTTTGGCGCCTGCCTTTGGCCCAGGGCGCGATCCTGGAGACCCGGGATCGAATCCCACATCGGGCTCCTGGTGCATGGAGCCTGCTTCTCCCTCTGCCTATGTCTCTGCCTCTCTCTCTCTCTCTGTGACTATCATAAATAAATAAAAAAAAATTAAAAAAAAAAAAAAAAAAAAAGAAACCATGTGAGTATTCCTGACCAACGAGCTATGAATGTAAGTGCTGGAGTCATTCCTGGGCCAAAGCATTTATTTCTTGTGTGAGACCAGTCAGCTCTCTCCCAGCTGCAGTGATCAAGATGCCATGGATTGCATTTGGTGCAATGATAAGATGGTAGATGTCTCTCAGCTGGAGTTCTTGAATGACTCTGTGGAAAACCATCCCTTGCTGACTTGGATGAGACACATACACGACCAAGAAATCAATTTTCATTTGTCATTCCAACAGAGCTAGCTAAACTGAGTAATGGAAGGTCTCAATGGAGTGTGGGCACTAGCTTGCTGTTATATGAGGAAGTACATCCTAGGGAGAGAGAATAGCAAGTTCAAAGGCCCTGGGACAAGTGTGCTTGATTTTTAAAAGAACAGGAAGGAGGTCAGTGTGGCTGAAGAGGTGTGAATGAGGGGGAGTCGTAGGAGGTGAAGTCAGTTATGTGGTGGAAGTACATCATGTAGGGCTCTGTAGGGCAGGGCAAGGACTTTGGATTTTATTCTGAAAGAGATGGGAAGCCATTCAAGAGTTTTGGCATAATAGGATCATGATCGGACTTGGGTTTTAAAGCCAACATCCTGGTTCTATATGAAGAAAACTATAAGGGGGTGAAGGGAAAACCAGTATGGAGACTACTGTAAAAATCCAAGAGAACAATAGTGGTGGCTTGGACTGAGTAGTAGCAGTGGACATGGTAAAAATGCTTGAATTATGAACATATGGAGTTGGTGGAGTGTACAGGATTTGCTGATGGACAGGACATGCGGGTGGAGCAGTGAGGCAAATGCCTCACTAAACTGGCTTTAAGAGAGAATGGAGAGCAGCCTGGGTGGCTCATGGTTTAGCACAGCCTTTAGCCCAGGGTGGGATCCTGGGGATCTGGGATTGAGTCCCACATCAGGCTCCCTGCATGGAGCCTGCCTCTCCCTCTGCCTGTGTCTCTGCCTCTCTCTCAGTCTCTCATGAATAAATAAATAAAATCTCTAAAAGAGAGAGAGAGAGAGAATGGAAAAAGACAAGATAAAACATACAGTTTTCTTGAAACAGAACACTTCTTAGAAAATCCCTTAAAGGGGATCCCTGGGTGGCTCAGCGGTTTGATGCCTGCCTTTGGCCCAGGGCATGATCCTGGAGACCCAGGATTGAGTCCTATGTCGGGCTCCCTGCGTGGAGCCTGCTTCTCCCTCTGCCTGTGTCTCTGCCTCTCTCTCTCTCTCTCTCTCTCTGTGTGTGTGTGTGCTCTCATGAATAAATAAATAAAATCTAAAAAAAGAAAATCCCTTAAAGAGGGGTTCCTGGGTGACTCAGTTGGTTGAGCATCTACCTCCTGGTTTTGGCTCAGGTCATGATCTCAGGTTCATGAGATAGAGCCCTGAGTTGGGCTCTGCCCACAACACAGAGTCTGCTTGAAATTCTCACTCTCCCTCCTCCTCTACTCCCCTCCCCATTCTGTCTCTCTTTCAAATAAATAAAATCTAAAAAAAAAAAAGAAAGAAAGAAAGAAAGCCCCTTAAAGACTCCTAACTCCTGCTCCTAACTCCCCCACCCTGGACCCACCTGGAAGCCAAAACAAGTTTCCCAGATATAGGGTATTATTGGTGGCTTGGGGGTTAAACAATCACCTCCTGGAGGCTGGAACCTGCCTTTTTCAGTCTCACAAGGAGCATACAAAGAACCTTGAGTGGAGGGCCTTTCTCTCTTCCTAGTAACTTAGGACATCAGGGCCTATTCCTGGCTTTCCATTGGCTGAGAGGCCCACTTTCCTCTCAGGGAAGGAACAGGATCGCTCTCCAGGGCCGAAGTCCTATCTGTTCCTCTGAGAATCCCTCCAAGTCCTCCCTCAATGACTCTCCTGCAAAGATCACCCAAATCTGAAATGCTGTGGTCCATTGCAGCTACAGGGGGCAGAGGTCAGGGTGGCAAGGAAGGTCCTAGGCCATGACAACCTTCCATGCCATAGTACTTACTGCTCCTTGGGTTTTTTTAGCTCCATCCCTCTGGCCTGTAAGTACCCAGCTCTCGGGTGGGAGTAGCATTCTGCTTAGCACCAAGAGATGCCATACCACTCTGTGGCTCCCCGTTGGCTATTCTTGCAGGAAAGTGTTTAGGCTGCACTTCAAGACCAGATGAACCTCGGTCACAACCCTCTAGATATTCATTCCAAGTCCCTTTATTCCTTTCTCGGAGACTATCCTAGGACCCACCAGGAACACAATGTTCCGAGGCACCTGGGTGGCTCAGCAGTTGAGCATCTGCCTTTGGCTCAGGGTGTGATCCCAGGGTCCTGGGATCGAGTCCCACATCAGACTCCCTGCAGGGAGCCTGCTTCTCCCTCTGCCTATGTCTCTGCCTCTCTCTGTGTGTCTCATGAATAAATACATAAAATCTTAAAAACATTGGAACGCCTGGCTGGCTCAGCGGTTGAGCGTCAGTCAGCCTTTGGCCCCGGGGCATGATCTCGGGGTTCCAGGATTGAGTCCTGCATCGGGCTCTCTGCATGGAGCCTGCCTGTGTCTCTGCCTCTCTCTCTGTGTGTGTGTCTCACATGAATAAATAAATAAAATCTTTTAAAAATGTATTAAAAACAACATCAACAACAACACAAAATTCCTACAGGTGGAGCTTTCCGGAAATATGGTACCGCGGCCCTTCCCTTTGGCGCGTTTCCCGCCTTTTCTATCTGCCCGCCCTCCTACTGGCTCTGGCCAATCACCAGGCAACACAAATCTGACGGGCACCGCAGTGTCGTCATCCCAGCTCTGCGGCTGGATTAGGGATTTTGCCCGGGAGCAAAGCCGTCTTTTGGCTGTAGGTTTTCTACCTTTGCCCCTCAATATATGAGTGTCTGTAGCCGAAACTCCCCCAAGATTTAATTGTTTATTTAGGGGCCTAGCCGCACAGTCCGCAGCCCAAACGCCTGGCGGCCCAAAGTCCCGCTGGCGGTTCGCGGCCTTTGGCGGGTCCCTCCGGCCGCCGCGGCGCGGGCGCGTGCCAGTGACATCACAGGCTCCACGGCACCTGATTGGCTCACTCAGGGACGCGCCGTCGTCGAACTGGAAGGCTCAGCGCAAGCTGGCGTCTGTTCCTCCCGCGGCGGTGCAGTTCGCCCAGGTCCCGCTGTGGTGCTCGGGTCCGGGCTTGGGGCGGGGGGCCGCAGGCCGCGGCAGCCCCCCGCGCGCTCCTCCAGCTGCAGCCGCCGAAGAGGCCGGGCCCAGCGTGGCCTCCAGGGCAGCGCGAGGCCGTGGCGGTCGAGGACCAGGCGCGCGGGATCGGGGCCGCCGGCCGCGCTGCCCAGCAGCAGGTAGTCGGTGTCGGGCTGAAGGCGCAAGCAGCCGCAGGCCAGGTCGGCGCGGGGCACCCAGGCGTCCTGGCTGCCGTGGCGCACCGGCCGCGCCCGCTGCTTGTAGACGGCCAGCACGCGCACCGCCAGCCGCTGCCAGGCCTGGCCCGCCGCCTCCGACGCCAGCACCTGCGCGCGGAGAACTGCGGGGAGGGTTGCGGTCAGGCCCGGGCTGGGGGAGCCTCTGGGGTCGCGCGGGGTCAGTCCCGCCCGGTGAGGAGGGGGACAGGACCCAGGGGTGGGCTCCCAAGGTACCCTCAGGGAGGAGACAATGAACGTTTGAGGGTGAGAGGTGGGGGGGGTCCTGGCCCTGTGTCATGAGTAGTGGAGCCTGCTGGAGGAGACATGGTCAAGGCAAGGAGGGGCATGGCTTCTGGATCGTGAGATGGGGTTCCAGGATTGTCATTAGGAAGGGTGGGGTGATGGAGGTCTCCTTGGGAGGGGAGGCCGAACAGAGAGAGGAACCTAGGACTGTGGGACGCTTTGGTTGGGGTTTATACTGGGAGCAGCAGATGCCAGAATGACTTAAAGTGTGGGGAGGGATAACCAGGGGACCCTCCAGTGGGTGTGGCTGGGAACAAGGCAGAAGAGGTGGGTCCAGGGTTTCAAATATGGCACAGTCAAGAGACATTGAAGCGGAGCCCTTGGAAAAGGATATTGGCTCTGGGATGAATTTTGGGAGCCAGAAGGAGGTCAGAACTTAGGACCTGAGAATTGAGGTCATAGTGATGGTGATTCAGAAAACATGTACTCTCTGAAGGGCTGAGGTGAGATGATGGGAGGCAAGAAGTATCTTAAGATAGGCAGGACCCTCCATTCAACCAGCCTCTCTTTCTCCTTCCATCCCCAGGAGGCCCCCTCTCTCCCTCAGAGCTGTCCATCTGAAGGAGAGAGTGACACTCCGCGAGGCCAAGAACATGGGGAAAGAGGAGATATGGGAACATAGGGAACACCCCCACTCCGCTGCCCCTGCCCCCATCTGGTCCTAGAATCAGGAAGGGTTATTGAAAGTCCCCCTTTCCATTTAAGATGAGAAGGATAAACGTGGAGAGGGAGGCAATCATCAGAACACCTTGAGTAACCCACCGGCCTTTTTTCTCCCCAGCACTCACCGTAGTCCTGCTGGCAGTATCTCCGAAGGCTCATATGTACCCTGGTGTCCGAGACATTGCAGTAGTTTTGACACTGAGGGTCTGGGGAGGGTTAGGCCATCTGCAGTGGTCTCCCGAGGCCTGGACCGCAGAGGTCTGCTCCTGCCCATCCCCCTCATTCCATCTTGATGGACAACTGGGGTGCCCCACCCCAGGACCCCTTGGGACTGGGCTCAGTGGGCCACCCTGTATTGCCATCTGGGGGCCCAACAGCCCATCCCTAATCCCTCTTGGTGCCAGGGTTCTCCACACCAGCCTTACCAGAGCTGTAAGCACCAGGGGTAGTAACAAGGGGTGTTGTTGCCTCCGGAATTCCTGTGAGAGACCAAAGGAGAAATTAAACTTTTGCCCCTCCCCCACTTCCAACAGGAATCCAAGCATCCAGACCCTGTGTCTGTTCCCTTAAAGCCCGAGTATGAGCACCCTTTGCCCTCCTCCCCCAGGACCTGGAGTTGGTCCCTAGTCCCTTCCTTTTTTTTTTTTTTTTAAGATTCTATTTATTTATTTGTTTGTTTTAAATTTTATTCATTTATTCATGAGAGACAGAGAGGCAGGCTCCATGCAGAGCCTGGGTCCCCAGGATCACACCCTGGGTTGAAGACAGGTGCCAAACCACTGAGCCAGCCAGGCGTCCCAAGATTTTATTTATTTGTTCGTGAGAGACACACAGAGAGAGGCAGAGACACAGGCAGAGGGAGAAGCTCCATCCCTATGGAGCTGGATGCGGGACTGATCTCAGGACCCCGGGATCAAGCCCTAAGCCAAAGGAAGCACTCAATCACTGAGCCACTCAGGCGTCCCCCTAGTTCCGTCTTCCTTCAGATCCAGGAGCGTAGACCCGCAGCCCCCTTCTCCCTCAGACACAGGAGTCCAGGCCCCTAGCTTCCCCTTCCCAAGACTAAGGAGATTGGGATTTGAGTCCCCTCCTCCCCCAAAGGCCCAGAGTATGACTTCCAGCCTCTAGCTTCCATCTCTCAGGGACCCAGCCCTGAGCATCCTTGCCCACTGGGATCTGGGATGTCCCCTTCCCGTCCCACTTAGGACTTGCAGCCCTGACCGTCATGACTCACGCTGGCAGGGCATCCAAGGAGAGCGGCTCTGCTGGTAGCCCGGACCACAGCGGTTGCATGTGAGGCCAGTGACCCCTAACTTACAGGAGCACTGCCCACTGGTCTGGTTGCAGATGCCCCCTGTGGCCCCGATCGGGTGACACTGGCAGGCTACATGAGGAGAGGAGGTGGGTGTCAGTGCTGGCGTGGGGACCTAGAGGCACCCTTCCCAGTCACCTGGCCCCTCCTCCCTCCGCCCAGGAGTCTGGCCTTGCTAGGCCCTTTCCTCCTAGGTCAGGCACTCACCCCTACAGGCCTTACGGCTGGTGATGGGCTGGCCGGGGTCCCTCCAGAAGCCCGGCTGGCAGTAGTGGCAGTGCCTCCCAGCCGTGTGGTGGCGGCACCGCTCACAAACGCCCCCACTCCGGCCACCAGACAGTCTGAAGAGCTCAGAGTTGAACCTGCAGCGTCGGGCATGCTGGTTGCAAGAGCAGGCTAGAGACAGGACGGGGGCAGACACATCAGGCTCCAGGGTCCAGCCTTCTGTTCCCGGTCCCGAGCTTTCTCCCCATTGCCCTCAGGAGAGGAAACAAAGCATAGGTGCAATGAGATTGCCTGGGGGTTTGCGGGTCAGCCCAGGCCCCAGAACCTCTTCGTCCTCGTCTTTAAGCTGGGTGCACTGGACCAGAGTGGGTACGCATGAGGGGTCCGGCAGACCTCTGAACATCTCTGTGGAACTGGGGGCTTAGAGAGGAGTGGCCACTCCAGGCGTGGGCGGCGGGGTCAGCCCCCCTAACCTGTCCACTCCTCACTGTGCTTCTTGGGCAAGTGACTTCTTTCTGTAGCTGGGTCTCCCCAGCTATAAAATGGCAGTACAGTGCCCACTTTGTGAGGTTTAAAGGAAACCAAAAGGATATAAATTCCTTGACCTAGGGCTTGACACAGAGCACACCTTTGCCTGCCGAGAGCTGTGCACCCAGCACCTTGCCTTAAGTCCTCAGCGCCTCTCATTCTCAAAGCAGTTCCATGAGGCTTGTGCTGTCATCAGCTCCATTTTACAGATGGGAAAACAGGTGGAGAGAGGCCAAGTCATCTGCCCAAAGTAATGCAGTTGAGGGGAAGTCAGTGGCAGGATCAGAACCCAGGGCTTCTGACTCCAGAGCCTGTGCCTTGGCAACCAGTCTAGTGTGGTCCACAGCTCATGTGAGGATTCTGTGCGGTGTACGTATGTGTGTGTTTTTGGGGAGAGCTGATCAGTGAGGTAGTGGCTCTCAGACCTTACCACTCCTCAGAGTTACTGGGAAATATTAAAAAAAGAAACTGCAGGGCAGCCTGGCTCAGCAGTTTAGCACCACCTTCAGCCCAGGGCATGACTCTGGAGACCTGGGATGGAGTCCCACGTCGGGCTCCCTGCATGGAGCCTGCTTCTCCCTCTGCCTGTGCCTCTGCCTGTGTCTCTGTCTCTCTCATGAATAAATAAAGTCTTAAAAAAAAAAACTGCAATGGGGGTGTCTGGGTGGCTCAGTCGGTTACACATCTGCATTCTACTCTGGTGACTCAGGTCATGATCCCAGGGTCCTAGGATAGAGCCCTGCGTTCTCAGGAATCCCTGTTCAGCAAGGAGTCTGCTTCTCTGCCTCTCCCTCTGCTCATGCTCTTGCTTGCTTGCTTGCTTACTCTCTCTCAAATAAATAAATAAAACCTTAAAAAATAAAAAAAGAAACTACACAGCTTCCAGGACCCACCCCCAGGGCTTCAGCTGGGCCCACAAATCTATTTCTAGCAAGCGTTCTGAGCAAGATGCTGATGGAGGGGGTCCGTGGACCATACTTGGGAGAGATTTAAGGAGTTTTTGATTCTCGAGGGGTTTGAGAGGCCTGGACTGGAAGGTCCTGAGAACACAGAACAGCAGCAGGAAGGTCAGGACACTGAGGAAGCTGTGTGTTCTCAGAAAAATGACTTGCTTCCCTAAACCTTGGTTTCCTCCCGTGCAGTGGGGATCTCAGTCCCTCTCCCAGGGCTGTCGTGGGCCTTAAGAGGTGCCTCTTAAGAGATACTCTTCAGATTATTAGAGGGAAGAATCATGCGTTGGGCTCTTTTTGACCTGAGGGTGATTACTTCACCTCCCCTCTGTCTGGAAGGCTCCAGTGGTAGGAAGGGGTTCAGACCACCATGCCTGTAAAGCCAGCAGCTCTGCCACAGGACCTAGTCCCACCCTCTCCACACAGACCCTGCTTCATCACAACACTGTTGGCTTCTTACCCAGGTTCAGAGGCCAGTGCCATGCTCAGCCTGGGGCCGTGTGGGGATCTTCAGAGGGACTGCCTCCTCAGCTCCCAGGCCCCATCCAGGCTCAGGATGAATCCCGTCCCACCCCGAGGCAATGTGAGTCTCCCCTTCTCCCCCCGCCCCTGCAGGGGCCTCAAAGCTGGCTGGTGGGAATGGACCAGAGGTGGCGGGGGCAAAGGGTCTAGGAATAGACCCTGGTACAGATGAGGACAGAGTAGGGAGCCAAGGACGGTGGGATGGGCTGTAAGTTACTCCACGTGACATTGCAGGAAGAAAGAGAAGAGGAATGGGGCAAAGAATTGGAGGGTTGAGAGAGAGGAGGGGTGTGTTGTGTGTGTATCTGTTGGTAGAGCAGATGTGCCTCCCAGGGCTGCAGGAGCAGTGGGGAAGGGCCCAGACTCCAGAAGCTTCAGGTCTGGAAACATCATGGAGGGGAAAGGGTGTGGAGTGGGCCTGGGGAGCCCTGGTCTAGCTGGATGGACCGGTGGATCGCCCATTATCTGGGAAAGTCTGTCTCCCTAAGTCCAGTCCCAGCCCTGCAGTTTGTTGGCCCTTAGGGCAGGTGGTACATGCCCTCAGGGCCCCCCCTTTCATCTGGGAAATGGTAACGTGGCAGTCGCACAACAAGCTCTTCTTTGGGGCCAGGTACCATATTAAGCTTTATTCCAAGGACCTTATACATAGTGACCCATTGGACTTTCACTACAGCCTGTAAAAGAAATACTGTCATTGTCCCCAGTTTACAGGCAAGGAAATGGAGGCACAGAGAGGTCAAGTCACTTGCCTGTGGTCACATAGCTAGGAAGCAGAGGAGCTGGGACTTGAGCCCAGGCTGGCTTGCTGCTGAGCCCATGTGCCTGTCTGCCACCCTAGAGCACGTAGCATGATGGCACCTGATAGGCAGGAGGGACAAGCCAAGACCCAGAGCTGACACTTTGTAGCTATGTGTCTTTGTGCAAGGGACCTCTCGCCTCTAGACTCAGTCTCCTCATCTATAAAATGGACCTGATGACAAAACCTGCCTGGTACATAGCTGGTGATTGGTGATGTCCTTAGTGAGTAAATATGTCCCCCATATTGTTGATTTGATGAGTCAGGAAAGGTCCAGCTGCCCAGTTCCCCACAATCATTTAGGAAATGTTATTCATAGCAGCAGCAGCAGCAGCAACATAGAAATGGCGTGTGGGGCAGAAACTGGAGCCCCTTACTGGGCAGCTGGAAGTCGGGGTAGCAGGGACTGGGGTAGGCAGGTGGGAGGCTGTGGGGGAGGCAGAGAGGGGACTGGCTCAGGAAGCAAGGTGAAGCCAGGAGCAAGCCGCTGTAGGGAGGGAGAGGGACCAGGGACCAGGGACTGGCTGCTAGAGAGTCAGGGAGCACGGATGGGGGGGGTGAGGGCAGGAGGGGGGCACCCAGGACTCACGCAGGCAAGGGTGGGGGTGCCAGGGCGTGGCAGGCCGCCAGGGCCAGTCTCGATGGGATGGGCGGCAGCTCTCACACCCCGGGCCCGTGGTGTGGTGGCGGCAGCGGCATCGGGGGGGCCGGGCACGGGCAGCACAGCGGGCCGCGTGGCCATGGCACTGGCAGCGGCCCCTCACTCCGGCTGCCGCCAGCCCTGCCCGGCCCCCAAACTCCACGCGGAGGTGACTGACTACCACGCTGGACTTCGGGCCTGGTGGGGCCCGGAACGTCACCTTCTCAGGGCCTCCCAAGGCCCCAGGCCAGGCAGGTCTGCGCCACAGCGATCTCCAGGGACCTCCGCTGGCCCAGGCAGCAGACAGGACCAGGGCTGGGGATCCTGGAGTGCAGAAGCGCAGGCTGACGGATGTCAGGAGGAAGGGGCCACCCAGGGCCAGGGTTAGGCTGCCATTGCAGGTGGCCCGGGGGCTGAGGTCTGCCCCCAGGGAGAGGGCGCAGGCCTGGGGACAGGAGGCTGCCGTGCCAGCCAGCTGGGTCACTGGTGGGAGGCAGAAGCGGGGGCGGCCACCTGGATGGTAACATGGGTCAGCGGTGGCCTGGCTTAGGAGGAGCCAGAGGGCAAAGATCACAGGCATGGTCCCAGCAGAGCAAGCACCTGGAGAGGAGAGGAGTGACCAGGCTGAGGGCCTCAGGCTGCCCTCGTGGGTCAGCCTCCCCCCACAGGCTCTGGGGGGAAACCCTGGCATTCCATCCCTAGCCCTGCCCAAGCCCCCTCTCTGGCTGCTTCTAAGCGAGGAAAATAGTTCCATCTGGGGAGAATTACTGTTTACATAACCCAGAGGGAAAAGAACGCAAGCAAAATTGAGAATTTTGCCTGAACTAATCTGCAGCTTAACACCCTAGAGCTATCATCGGTGTCAGTGTGGAGGGGCAGGGGGCCCTGGGGAGAGGGCCAGGGGTGCGGGCGGATGGGGAAACCCAGACAGGCCACAAGGGTGGGGGGGCTTAGAGGCAGATGAAGCTCCGAGACAAAGTAACAAAGAGGGACAGAGGCACCCACAGCAAAGACAGAGGGGAGGGGACGCAAGTCTGCGGAAAGGGCCAGGTGCAGAAAAGGAACCATGGGGATGGGGGAAGCTGGAGCCCAGACGGAGGGGGCACCCAGATCCACAGGGAGTGGGTGGAGGGGGAATGGAGTCCCAGGAAGCCTGGGGCCAGGACGGACAGACAGGCAGACCTGTGGGCTCAGAGACACCCAGGGAGCAAGAGAACAGACAGCCTGCCGGCCTGGCCTGGCCTGGCCAGTGGGAAGGTGGAGGCGGGGAGGGGAAGTGGGGGCGGGGCAGGGCGGGGGATCAGAAGCCTGCGGCCAGGCCCCTGGCCCACGAGGATCAGAGCGGAGGCCCTTTCCCACGTGGGGCCCTAACCTTGTTCTCCACACCCAGGGCACGGAGGGGGATTAGCGCCAAACAACCCTCCAGCCTCCTCCACTGCCACCCACCCCAGCCTCCACCCAGCCTTAACCCTTTCCCACCCAGGGACCAAGCCTCACCCTCAGAAGTGTGCTGAGGATGAGGAGCTGGAGGGGGGGGGTCACCCAGGGACTAGAAACCTGGGTCACTCTGGAGCTGGAGCATGGGGTTAGGAGAGCAGATGCGAGCCCCCTCAGAATTCAGGGTTGGGAGGACCCCAGACTTGGATTTCTGAGGACTTTCTGTTCACTGCAACCCTCCCTACTCCTACCTGCCATCCTAGGCCTCCCGATCTGCAGAGCAGAGCCCCCACATTCTCTACCCACCCTAAGGTCCTCAGATTAGAAGAGGGAACAGTTATGGGGGGTGTCGGGTGCTGCCTAGGGGGAGGGGTGGGGGAGGCAGGGCAGAGCCAGATGCCATGTGGGGGTGGTGGCTGAAGTCCAGACTCTGGGATGGCAGGGGTGAAGAAGGACTAGGGGCTGAAATCCGCCCCCCCCCACTCCCTGTTGTCCCCTTCCAGGGCAGCCCCTACTGAGGAACTTCCTCAGGTCTGGTGCCCTTGGAGCCTTTCTGGGCCCCACTGACCATGCCCCTGGCTTGCTCCTGGCCCAGAAGTCTTGTGAGGCATCTGGGGGTGCAGGTGGCGTCACATCACCCCAGCCTGATCTCACAGCCCCCACCATATCCCAACTGTGGTTGCCATGTACGGAGACCACCTCCCCCTGCCCCAGAGAACAGGCATCAGCCTCCACCCCTCCCTATGAGCCTGGCGCCATTTTGCACACTTGCGACCGTGGGCATTTGCCCTGTCTTCTTAGCGCCAGCTTCATTAAGGACCTAGCCCCCATCTCCTACCTTGCCTTCCTTGCCTGGGCAGTTCGTGGGGTACCATTTTCTGGCCCATTGCACCTGGACAGCCAGGCCGCGAGTCCCCCGGTGTTCCTGGAGGATCCAGAAGCCAGCCCCTGCCCATCTGGGAACCCAGATGTGCAGCCTCCAGCCCCTATCCCTCTTGGGAGCCGGAGTCCACTCCCACCCCCTTTAAGGAGCAGAGTCTAGCTGTGCTCCTACCAGACCCATAGTTAGGCCCCCATGCCTGGGCGGTGAGGAGGTCCATCTGGGACCCAGGCTCCTTTTCTCTGGCTTTTTTGCATGCATCCCACCCCTTTGCCCCTGACGTTGGCCAAACCTGTGCCCAAGAAGAGAGGGTCCTCTGCAGCTAGCTCCTCATGTGTTCTTCCCTCTCGCAGGAGCTTGGCTGCGGGGCGGCAGCGTGGGCTCTCAGGAGTGAGTGCCTGAGTGCCGGAGTGGCTGTTGTCAGGCCCCAGGCTAGTGGGGGTTCTGGGCGGGAGCTCAGAGCAGAGCCCGCAGAATCCAACACCACCACCGCTCCCCACCCCCACCCCCGCCCCAGTCCCCTCGCCAACCGCAGCCACTTTCTCCCCGCAGGGACCCCAGCCAGCCACGCCACCCAGGACTGTGTGGGATGTGAGGGATGTCGCCCCAGGGGGGCCCGAAACCAGGCAGCCCAGAGCACGCTGGCCCAGGAGGCTAAAGACAGGTAGGATGGGACAGCAGACTGTGGCCCCATGGGCTTCTGGGGTCTGGGGTCCCTGCTGCACTCACACTCAGACCCCTGTCCCACTGACTCCCCATGGCACTGACTCCCCACAGCTCAGCTCACCATGTGGTGCTGCAATCCTTGATCCATGGATCTTTGATCCTTCAATCCAGATCCATTGGGTTGGGAAGGGGCTGACTTGCCAGGTGACTATCAGGGCCTCTCTCCACACTGAGGCAGGACCCCCAGCTGGCACCTCCTTCCCTCTGGAACCTTCTGTCAGCTGTGGGTAAATTCAGCATTGAGGTGAGTTACTTCACACTCTAAATATCTGTGATTTTGGAAGGATCTGGGCAGCCACCAGGAAACCCAAAGACTTGGGCCACTTTCTAAGACAGCAGGGAGGGAGGTGAGGAGATGAGAATCGCCAGACCTCCCTCATCCTGCTTTGGAAGGAGAGGGCAGGGACGCCAAGGGGGACAGAGCCCAAAGCCAGCCTACCCACGGCCAGTTCCTACAAGGCCTCAACACTTCAGTCACAAAATTTTCATGCAAATGTGACTGTCAACTATTACAGAGCTAATGATTTTGACTAGAAAAATAAAGCTTTCTATCACTTCCTGCTGAGAAAAGCAAGAGTCTCAGGAGGATGGGGCACAGATATTTGCCAGCCTGTGGTTTTGAATGTGTTTATTGAGGGGCCCCATGGACCTGACCCTGACAGGGATTTGAGTGTCGCACTGTTGGGAGCCTGCCCTGAGGTCTGGAGGGCACAGCCAGGGCAGTCTCTGATTCTGGGTCTGGGGGACCCCCATGAACCACCCTAGAGAGGCCAGCCAGGGTGGGAGCCAGGACGAGGACATCGGATTTGAAATTAGGCTGTGAGGAGGAATTGGCTGCAAGAGAAGGGGTTTGGGGGTGGAGACACCCCCAAATCAGAGGAGGCATACCAGTTCTAGGGACAGGCAGTGTGAGCTACAGGGTAACGCTGTGGAATATTCACCACACGCATCCATCTAGCAAGTGCGCCCCGAGTCCCTCCTGTGTCCATGACCCCCACCCTTGCCAGACTTACAATCTGGAGAGGAGAGATCACTACAGGAAAGTATTAAGTAATTCTGTTCTAGAGAATGGCAGAAGGTAACAAGTGCTTGGGAGCAAAAGCAAGCAGGGAAGTGGGGTGGGAGTCTGCAGGGGACATTTGTTTGGGCTGAGACCTGAAAGCAGTGAGGGCAGCCCCCCGCCCCCCATCATCAGGACCCAAGGGCCTGGGGTAGACAGAATCTGGGGTAGAGAGGGTGGCCAGTGCAAAGGCCAGCCTGGCTGCCTGAGATAATTCGAGGTTTAGGTCTCTGATTTATTTTGCTTTACTTTCTCCCCACCCCGTTGGGAACAAGCAATTTCTTAAGCTAATGTGACCTGGAGGGAAGCTTTCTTCCTCACTTTTGTTTTTAATAGCCTGAGCTGCATGAGGTGTTTAGCACTTTGAGGGGATGGGATGGGGGGAGGGTAGAAGCAACGTGAGCCTGGAGGAAAGAATTCTCCAAGTTGGGAAGGAGGCTTTTTTTTTTTTTTTTTGGATAAGAGTTCCTCAAGTACTGGGCACCTTGTCCCTCACATGGCCCCAGAGAGGAGGCAGGACCTATGTGGTAGCTCAGCAGTGTGGAACCCACAGCTCTGGGTTTACAGAGAGATCTTTTATCCCTATCTTGGTGGTCCAGAAAAGACAGGCGCCAGGAGGCAGAGCAGATCATACTCCATGTATAACGACCGAGAGCCTGCGTCTGAGTGCTCTCCTTCAGGAAGACTAGAAAAATCCAGGACAGTAATGGAGAACAGATTCCTGAGCCACACTGCCTGGGTTCAAAATCCATGCTCTACCTCTTTCCTGGCTGTGTGACCTAAGGCAGCTTTCTTAACCTCTCTGTGCCTGAGTGTCCTCATCTGTTAAACGCGAGCATAACAATCCGCCTTCCTCCCGGGAGGGCATGAGGTCTAGATGAGCAAAGACAGCCCTGCAGTCTCATAACGGAACCTCCCTGGATCAGACGTGTTCCAGAACCTGTGCATCGGCACTGTAGTGGGATGTGAGGTCTGGGCAGTATCCCATAATCAGATGTTACCGTTTCTGCAGCAAAACGTGGGCATCTCAGGAAGTCAGTCTACAAGTCACTTTGGGCCACATTTTTGTCTCCAAATTAGTTCAGTTAGGGTTGAAGTTGGCCACCAGTTGTTGGGAAGGTGATGGATAAGGAATCGCAGGTGGGAAAGCAAGCATTGGGGCCAGTGCCTGGTGCACCCAGGCAGGGACCACAGAAGCAGTACCCCTAATGCACAGTCTTTCTCTGACTTTCAAATTGTTCAGGCCAACAGAAAGCCAGGAGAGGGAGCTCTTGAGATTCAAGGACCAGGGCTGCTGGATTCGCAGAGCCTAGAGGAACCGAAAACTTGGGGTGCCTTATTCAGATTGATTGATAGATAATTTCTAGCTGGTGAGAGCAGAGCATTAAACCAAGTGCAGCCCCCCCCCTTTTCATTAAAACATGTAAACTCTACTCCCAACATGGGGCTCAAACTCATAACCCCAAGGTCAAGAGCCGTCTGCTTTCCTGACGGAGCCAGCTGGGTGAAGTGCAGGCCCTTTTGAGTGTGGGCCGGGTACAACTGCTCGGGTCATGCACCATGGAGGTGGCCCTGGGTGGTGGGTGCCTTTGTCCTGAGCTGCTGCTTCCTCCCCAGTAGCCCAGGCTCCAGTCCCTGCTCAGCTCCCCTGCTCTGTCTTTGGAACCTGGCCCACCCCGCAGGCTGGCTTGGAGTGAAGCTGGAGTCTTCCCTGGGCGGACCTGAGCTGAGCAGGCCATGTGTTAAGGATTGGGGCAGAGTTGTCACCAGCCCCATGAGAAGAGGGGCTCATTTTTTGAAATTCTGGCAGTAGTCTGGGCATTGCTCGGACACCCCAGTGGAGGGAGTGTGATGTCATACTCAGCCTTCCTGCGGAAGAGCCAGCTGACCTTGCTGGGGACCCACAAGAAACATTTGAGGAGGGCCCAGGAGTGTTCAGACTTCCCAAAGGGTCAGGTTAATAAATAAAGTGAGGAGCCCTGGAATATTGGAGAGGGAGTAGAGGGGGGGCTGGCAGAGGGAGAGAGAAGGGGAGCCTGGACAGGGGTGGAACAGAAGCCAGAGGATGAAAAGTGGGGGCCCCAGCAATCCAGTGCTTCCTTCTGTAGCCCCTGGAATGGCCACAGAGAAACCACAGGTGGAGGGGAGAGTGAAAAGCGGGTCAGGACACGCTGGACGCCACTCGACTCGCTTGGCTTAGTTGAGTGAGGGAACCAGTGATTTGGGGGTGAATGTGACTCAGGTGCTGCCAAGCCATCACTCGTGACTGCGTCCTCTGTCCTCCCTGCAGCCCTGATGGGATTCCGGGCCACTTGCCCTTCCTTCTCTACCATCTACTTCCTCTTCATCATCTTCGTGGTGTCCACCATCTTCCACTGCCACCGGCGCCTGGCTCTGGTGCCCACCCCCTGGGCCTACTCAGGCCGCGTGGTCCTGCTCCCCAGATACCTGCCCCGGGGGGCGTGTTCACCATCAACTCCAAGGGCCGCCTGGGGAACCAGATGGGTGAGTACGCCACCCTGTACGCCTTGGCCAAGATGAATGGGCGGCCGGCCTTCATCCCGGCCGAGATGCACAGCACGCTGGCCCCCATCTTCAGAATCACCCTCCCCGTCTTGCACGGCACCACGGCCAGCAGCATCCCGTGGCAGAACTACCCCCTGAACGACTGGATGGAGGAGGAGTACCGCCACATCCCGGGGGAGTACGTGCGCCTCACCGGCTACCCCTGCTCCTGGACCTTCTACCACCACCTCCGCAATGAGATCTTGCGGGAGTTCACCCTGCACGACCACGTGCGGGAGGAGGCTCAGAAGTTTCTGCGGGGCCTGCAGGTGAACGGAAGACAGCCGGGCACCTTCGTGGGGGTCCATGTGCGCCGGGGGGACTACGTGCAGGTCATGCCAAACGTGTGGAAGGGCGTGCTGGCTGACCGGGGCTACCTGCGCCAGGCCCTGGACTGGTTCCGGGCCCGCTACCACGCTCCCCTCTTCGTGATCACCAGTGACGACATGTCCTGGTGTCGGCAGAACATTAATGGCTCCCTCCGCGACGTGGTGTTCGCGGGCAATGGCCTTCAGGGCTCCCCCACCAGGGACTTTGCGCTGCTCACGCAGTGTAACCACAGCATCATCACGGTGGGCACCTTCGGGATCTGGGCAGCCTACCTCGCGGGTGGGGCCACTGTCTACCTGGCCAATTTCACCCTGCCCGACTCCCCCCTCCAGTGGATCTTTAAGCCGCAGGCAGCCTTCCTGCCCGAGTGGGTGGGCATCGCGGCCGACCTTGGGCAGGCCAGAGAGAATGGCCTCTAGCCCCTCGAGGTCAGCATCTCTTTCTCCCCCTCGGCCGACAGGCAGTGCCCGGGCACCACCAGGCATCTCCAGGCCACCATGCTTCCTAGCTGAGCTGAGGGACCTCAGACAAGTCACTTAATCTCTCGGGGCCTTAGGTGCCACCTGCAGAGTGAAAGTAACACAGAGCTTACCTCAGCAGTCCTGCAGCAAGTTCATTTAGTGTCCTCAGGAACACATCATGGCTCTGGGTTTGCTTGGCAGTTGGACCGTTGGTACTAAACAAACCATTGAAGGGCTCCCCTTCAGCAGAGGCCCTGGCAGCGAATTTGCAGGCTTCATACCCAGCCTCTTCTAGCACACCCTGTCTCCTTCCCCAGTCACTGCAAGCCAGCCTTGAGAAAGAACTAGAAGATCTAATCTCATCTCTCCATTTTATGGGTGGAAAAGCCACGCTCAACCCACAGTGCGCTTTCCCTGGTGAGGGCAGTGGCTCTGGCTGCTGCTCTGGCTCTGCAAGTGGTGCCTGAAACCACGAGGAAACTGCCCTCAGAAAACGAACCTGCCTGTTCTGGCAAGTTCCTGCCTGGGAGCCCAGAAACTTCCTGCCTGCTGCATGCTCCTTGGCCATGACCAGGCAGGTGTACGGCATGCCCTGAACTTTCTGGTTGCCTTAAGAAACCTAATTTTTGCCCTCTCCTTGTCTGCAGCTTCTGGAGTGGAAGTCCAGATGTCTTGCCCTTGCCTCCTGAGAGGGTTTGGCGAAGCTGTGCCTGCCGTCAAGTACAAGGGAGCCAGGTGTCTTGGGCAGCAAAGAATTCAGGCTTTAGGTTTCATAAGGCCTTAGCATGAAAGGGAGGGAACCCAGAGTTTGAGGGGATGAATCTCAGGGAAGTACTCTCAGTGGGGAGGTGAGGGCCCTGGCCATGTGTGTGGATGGGGGGTGGGGGCCTCACAGTGCTGGCCGGAGTCCAGCAGGACTCCACACCACTTGGCCTGCAGCAGCAAAGCCGCCAATGTTCTAGAAGCGGTGGGCAGACCTCAGGAGGCCCCAGACAGGAGCACAGCCATGCCAGCCTCCACCTGCAGACAGACGTCCTCACTCTCGGCACTGCCTATGCCCCGGGCACACTCTGAGAAACCCCCCGTGTAGAGAGAAGTTGGATTAAGTGATCACAATACGGGTTTTCCTGTGTTCAGTGCATTCAGAAGTATGGAGATACCGGCACATTTATCCGTGTAATACTCCTTTTTGAATATTAAAAAAAAAATCTTGATCTCATCCCTTTCCTGTTGTTAATTCATTCCAAATGTCTTAATTACCTGAATGCCCATTTCCTGGCATGCTTGAGGTTGAGCACAGGTGTCCTCACCTATCAATAATATATCTCCCCAGAGTCTTTTGACCCCAGTATACTTCCTTAAGTCCCGATGGAGTCATCATGGTCTGGGGCCTAGGGTAGGGGGATGCTAGGGAAAGTAAGAGGGGTCTGGGAGGGGGCCTCTGTGTGAGCTATCCCCAGCTGCTTAGCAAATGACTCCCAAACCTAGTGGCTTAAAATAACTGCAGCAATTTATTAGCTCTTACGGTTTGTGTGGGTCAGGGATTCAGGCGTGGTTTAGCTGGGTGGTTCTGCTTGCCTTACTTATCCAGGGAGGTTGCTGTCGGGTAGGTGTAGGCAAGGGCTGGTCCCTCTGAAGGCTCTCTGGGGAGCTGGGGGGGTCCCGCTTCGAGGGCTGGAAGCTCTGCTGACTCTGGGCTCTTTTTAAATTTTATTTTATTTTTGGGGGATCCCGGGTGGCTCAGCGGTTTGGCGCCTGCTTCAGCCCAGGGCATGATCCTGGAATCCTGGAATCGAGTCTCACGTCAGGCTTCTAGCATGGAGCCTGCTTCTCCCTCTGCCTGTGTGTCTGCCTCTCTCTGTGTCTCTCATGAATAAATAGATCTTAAAAAAATAATTAAAAAATATTTGTATTCATTTATTCATGAGAGACACACAGAGAGAGGCAGACACACAGGCAGAGGGAGAAGCAGGCTCCCGGGCAACCCCGGTGGCTCAGCGGTTTAGCGCTGCCTTCGGCCCAGGGCATGATCCTGGAGACCTGGGATCAAGTCCCACATCAGGCTCTCTGCATGGAGCCTGCTTCTCCCTCTGCTATGTCTCTGCCTCTCTCTCTCTCTCTCTCTCTCTGTCTCTCAAAAATAAATACAATCTTAAAAAAAAAAAAAAAAGAAAAAAAAGAAGCAGGCTCCCTGCAAGGAGCCCAATGCAGGATTGGATCCCAGGACCCCAGGATCATGACCTGATTCAAAGGCAGATACTCAAAAAAAAAAAAAAAAAACACAAAGGCAGACATTCAACTACTGAGCCACCCAGGTGTCCCTCATTTTTTTTTTTTTTTTTAAGATTCTAGGGATCCCTGGGTGTCTCAGCAGTTGAGTGCCTGCCTTTGGCCCAAGGCGTGATCCTGTAGTCCCAGGATCGAGTCCCACATCGGGCTACTTGCATGGAGCCTGCTTCTCCCTCTGCCTGTGTTTTTGCCTCTCTCTCTGTGTCTCTCTCTCATGAATAAATAAATAAAATCTTTAAAAAAAATAAAGATTCTATTTATTTGACAGAGCGCATAAGCAGGGGGAGAGGGAGAGGAAGAAGCAGACTCCTCGCTGAGCCAGGAGCCCAATGTGGAGCTCCATACCAGGACCCTGGGATTATGACCTGAGCAGAAGGCAGCCACCCTTAACCCTCCTCTGAGCCACTCAGGTGCCCCCCTCATTTTAATTTAATTGCATCTCTGAAGATCCTGTCTCCAAATAAGGTCACATTCTGGGGTCCTGGGAGTTAGTACTTAAACATTTGCACTTTTGTGGGGGACAGAGCCTGTAACACTGGCCACCATGGGGCTCCCAGCCCTCTGCCCTCGAATCACACAGGCTTTACTTCCCTTCTGTTTCTCCCCTACAGGATCATTTACCTGAGCAGGGTCTTTTCCCAAATTGCCCCTTTTGGAGAGACTCCAACCAGAAGGGTACAGGAAGCTGAGCCAGGACCTCTGGCCCTCTACCACCTGCCACAGTATCAAAGTACAGAAGCAAATGGCAACCATGTCTCACACTTCAATAAAATAACCCAGTGCCAGGTCCCTCCTCACAGCCCCTCCAAATCTCTCCAACTTTCCCTGCTCTGCTCTGTGCCCTGGGAGGCTGTCTGATAGCATCTGCCGTAGACTGGACGTTTGTGTCCCTCCAAAATTCATGTGTTGAAGCCCTAACCTCCCAATGTGCTGGTGCTGGTATCTGAAGGTGGGACCTCCGGAAGTGATTAGGGCGGGGGTGGGGAGAGCCCTTGTGAACACAATTGGTGTCCTTGTAAGAGATGGCAGAGATGATCTTTCTCTGCCCTCTGATGCAAATCAGGAAGTGGGCTCTCACCAGGCAACCCAATCAACAGGCAAACCTTCACCTTGGACTTCAGTGTTAGAGCACCCAGCCTGTGGCAGCCCCACTCTATCGCTGTTTCCATGGGCTCCCCGCCCCAAGGCTCCTGCTGACTCAGGGCAGTGGGATCACAGTCCAGAAATCAGAGGCGGCGAGTGAAGCTGGGAGTGTTTATTCTCTCTTGCTTCACCTGCCCACACCTTGTAACCCATCCTCTTAGACTCCTCTCCAGGTGCCTCCATATGAGGGTTCCCGCTCTTGCTGGGACCCTGAGCGATGCCCCCCTGCCCTGGGATTTTGGTATCACAGAAAAGAAATCCCCGCATGGACACGGCTCCAGTGCCTTGAAATCCTTTAGCTTAGCATGAGGACATGGTCTCGGTCAGAATCAAGTTGATTCTGAAGATAATGAAGAGAGGTGATATTGCCTGCAGACTTCACTCAGGGGGCAAAGATGAAACCCAGGAGCAGCCACAGGGCCAGTTCCCACAGGCAGGGGCGGGGGTAGGGGTGGGGGGGTGGGCAGCACCAGCTTCCCACCTGTCTCTTCTCGCACATCCTGGGCATGATGTAGGCACCAGGGGAGGATTCATAAGATCCATCCTCCCAGGGGATCTCTGGGTGGTGCAGTGGTTTAGCACCTGCCTTTGGCCCAGGGCGCGATCCTGGAGACCCGGGATCGAATCCCACGTCAGGTTCCCGGTGCATGGAGCCTGCTTGTGTCTCTGCCTCTCTCTCTCTCTCTCTCTCTCTCTCTCTCTCTCTCTCTCTCCTCTCTCTCTCTCTGTGTGTGTGTGACTATCATAAATCAATAAAAATTAAAAATAAAAAAAAATAAAAAAAAAGATCCATGCTCCCAGCCACCCTCCCACGTTATCTCCTGGGGTGGGAGGGTCCCCCCCACCCAGGAAGGGGCCCTGCTACCCAGAACAGGCCTGCGGGGTTCCGGGAGCTGGGTGGAGTAGTGCAATAAGATTCTATTTAGTTCTGTTTAATCTCAAGGCAAAGGGAACCCAGCTCTGCTCCTTATGTTTGAAGTGCCTTATTTGAAGAGGAAGTAAGTGACTCTTAGAAGGGCTGAAGCAGAAATTGGCCAGCTGTGAAGCATAAATCACACTAAATCAGTCACAAATATTTATTGAGCTCTACCCTGAACTCAATGACCTCTTCCTTGTCCTCACCACAGGGGACAGAAGGAAGCCCAGGACCGGCACCACTCCAAAACCAGCATCGAGCACACCATACCTGTTTGTTACGGGTCAAGTTGTGTCTCCCAAAAAGATAGGCGGAAATCCCAACGCCCAAGATGTCAGCTTGTGCCCTTATTTGAACACAGGGTCTTTGCAGGTAAACTAGTTCAGATGAGGGGCACCTGGGTGCTCAGTGGTTGAGCGTCTGCCTTCAGCTCTGGTCATGATCCTGGGGTCCTGGAATCGAGTCCCACATCAGGCTCCCCATGGGAGCCTGCTTCTCCCTCTGCCTGTGTCTCTGCCTCTCTCTGTGTGCCTCTCATGAATAAATAAATAAAATCTTAAATAAAAAAAAAAAAAGGGCAGCCTGGGTGGCTCAGCGGTTTAGTGCCGCCTTCAGCCCAGGGCCTGATCCTGGAGACCTGGAATCAAGTCCCACATCGGGCTCCCTGCATGGAGCCTGCTTCTCCCTCTGCCTCTGCCTGTGTCTCTGCCTCTCTCTCTCTCTCTCTCTCTCTCTCTCTTTCATTCTCTCTCTCTCATGAATAAATAAAATCTTAAAAAAAAAAAAAAGGCTTGAAGTTTGCATTGTGCCCCTTGTTACAGCAGCCCTGGGAAACCGATACAGTGTTTCATGCCTG